TGTAAATTATTTTTCTTCCTTTTTAAATCTTCAAATATATATGTGCAAAGTTACAAACCTTAACAAGCATTGGTATTCATTTACCAGCCCATTTAAAATCTTAAAAATAAAAAATCGAGAATGGGGGGGGGTTCCCTTAAGTGAAACCATCTAACTATATTGACATTTTCTTGTACATGCAAAATAATATTTTTCAATAATTAATAACTACACCGCAAACAAATAATTGTTATGGTTTTATTGAAATTGTGGTTTAGTTACTCTTCATGATATACTGATTATTTTAAACGAACTTTGTTATATTAGGGTGCTTAGCGAAATGTAAACAAAAGGCTATACGTAGAGATAGGCCTTGAGAAATAGTGAAAATAATATTAAATATTCATGAAAAATGAACGTAGTCGCTGTAGCTCAATACGACTGACTATGTCAATGTCCGCGTATAAATTGTAAAGCTCGTGGTTCATTCGACGCCGATATTCACCTTTGACGCAGATCGGCCCGTAGATCTTTCGGAGAATTTTTCTCTCAAACACCCCAAGAGCTGCCTCATCTGCTTGCGCAAGTACCCATGCTTCTGATCCATATAATAGCACGGGTAGTATCAGCGTCTTGCAAAGTGTGAGTTTGGTCTGGCGGGAGGTGGCCTGGTTTCTAAACTGCTTACTTAGACCATAGTAGCATCTGTTGGCCATCTCAATCCTTCTCCGAATTTCAAAACCGATGCCATTTGCTTGATTTATGGCGGTACCAAGGTATAAAAAGTCTTTAACTACCTCGAAGCTGTAGGGTGCGTACCTTGGTTGTCACAAGGTAATGGTCCGAACCGATATTCGCTCCTCGGATCGATCGGACGTGTACTGGATGAATGCCTTCCGTCTATCACAACATGATCAATTTGATTTCTCGATACATGATTGAAAAGCTCATAACTATACCAAAATTTTTTGATTTTTCTTTTGATATGTTTTGTCCATAATCAAATCTTGACATATGAAATCCAAATGCTAGCTGCATATAAGCTCTAAAACATTTTGTTGCCTGTGGGCAACATTAGGCCACAAAGGGTTAATTTTGTTATTCCGTTTGCAACACCTCCAAATGTAATATTACTTCGATTTTTGGTATTTTCGACATTTTTCAACCGAATTCGTCCCAGAAATGATCAATATTTCGATATTCTGATTTTCGGTATTTTGGGGATATTGAGCGAATTTTTTACACCTGAATTGGGTAGCCTCCATACAACGGTACCTTCAAAAATATCTGTATTGTAGAGAGTTTGACTATAATTCGGTATATTGGATTCTCTCTTTTAAAAATTGTCAACGTTGTGGGGTGGTGCTCATATGGATTATACCCGAAAGGATTACTCGATTTGAACAAAACTTTACACAATCTAACATTAAACCATGACTGTATAAAGTTAGAAGATGGGACATAATCGTATAGTACCTCCCACACAAAGGGTCACAATTTTGAAAACTCGTACATCTCACATGAAGCGAACGGAATATCCAATTTCACCTAAACATTGTACAACTTTATAATTTTACCGTGCTTATATTTTGCCTGAAGATTAGCTTCGGTCTACACCGCCTGCCACCACCCACCCACCATTTTCCCAGAAGGTGAAATAATAAAACCTGTGAGTAATTCGGTAGAATTTAGGAGCAAAAATGCTAAAATGTCCACACTGGTTCGGATGTGTTTTGTTTTTTATCGTCATCTGTCTCTCCCCTCACTTGTTGGTTGTTGTCTATTGTTTCTCTTGTTTACAACGTGGTCTGTCCACTCATTCCATTGTGGTGTTAGAAAATTCGCATATGTGTTTTCCAAATTATTTCGATTGAAATGTTAAATACAATATATGAAATAAGTGTTGATACGAGCAACAAGCACAACCGCAAGTTCACATTGTATGGATTGTTGTTATGTCGCAAAACAAGAACATGTAAATAAGAAAAATCGAGACAAGACAAAACAATGAAGAAAAGATAAAATCAAAATAGAAGAAAAATCAAAACGACAATTAGTTTCTGTGTCATAGAAAATCCGCCAGCACAAAACACAACATTCATGTTGTTTTTCGCTCTCTCTCTCTCTCTCTCTCTCTCTCTGACAAGAAACCAGCATTTAAAATTGTATGAATTGCAATCATTAAATGCAGAAATCAGGACATTGGAAAAACTTGCTCAACATTATACAATATACGAAATGAGTGTGCCAAATTTCGAAACTCTTGTAGGTGTAAGTTCTATAAACGCAAGTTCAACCAGTGAGCGGAGCAGTATAGTCGGACGGGGCCGACCATACGATACCCTACACAACTACCACGGAACTCAAATTTTCTGCGGATGTTTATTCCGAGCCTGGGCAATATTTCGTGATATTGGCATCCTCTTGCCGGTTAGAGGTAAACAGCACTTCTAATCCTCACACTGACATATTTTCCGAATATTACGAGTATTCAGTACAGCTATTGTCCAGATTCCCTTCACCGTGGGTTGTGTGGTGATGTTCGGCTTTCATTTGTGGTCTATATATCGACTCGAAAATAACACATAAAATTAAGTTTTCGGTCCACTTCATTCCAAAATTATTATTTGATCATCTCCGCAAATTATAGGCGTTGTCCTTGACCATAACTAGAACCTTATGGAACATTTCAAAGCAATCAGCGCTATAGTTCCGCGCTCTAGAGTGATAATGGGTTACTAAATAATATACGGATACGAAAATACCTGTAAATATTTAGGTGTAACTCCCACATCCGAGCACATACAACAATACAATTGGTATTAATTTAAATGTCAACCACTCCTCTTGGATATAATATCAACTTCTCCGGTCTATGTCATTCAGGGGTAAATATATACGCTATAGAATACAAATTTTGTCATTTTTCACACAAAAGTCAAGGTCCATTTGACCCGCTAAATATTGACCAATCTTTATCAAAACAGGCATGCTTATTCTTTGGCCCGATCCCCTTCTCCATGCAAAATTTCACGATGTTCGGGCCATTATTGCGGCCTCTGGAGCGACCAGAAAAACCGAAAAAAATTTAGTATTTGGTCCATTTCATCCCCTAAATATTAACCGATCTTTCCCAAAAACAATAGGGGTCTTCATTGGCCAGAGCCCATCCTACATGCAAAATTTCGTGAAGATTGGTCCATAACTGTGGCCTGTAGCGTGTTTACAAATTATAATGGACGGACGGACACACATGTCTAGATCGACTCAGCTAGTCGAGATATGACGATCGGTTATACATAAAGGTGGGTCTAGGACCAATATTTCGCGGCGTTACAAACTTTTGGGGCTGCACAAAGCTATAATACCCTGACAACATAGTTGTGTAGGGTATAATAAATTGAGCAAAGTGTTAAATTGCTGGAACCTCAGCATCCTGTGCCCCGTGCACAAAAGATGAGATAAGACGATATGTGCCAACTATAGAGGGATAAGTCTCCTTCCCATCGCATATAAAGTGCTATCCAGTGTGCTGTGTAAACGATCGAAGCCAATGTTCAATGACATCATTGGACCATACAAATGCGGTTTCAGACCTGGCAAATCCACCATTGACCAGATTTTCACTCTGCGCCAAATCCTGGAAAAGACCAACGAAAAACACATCGACACATACCTCTTATTTGTCGACTATAAAGCCGCATTCGACAGCCCTATCCGTTCAGAGGTGTTTAAAGCCATGTCTACGTTCGGCATTCCTACAAAATTAATACGGCTATGCAGGATAACTTTAAGTGGCACAAGATCAGCAGTTAAAGTAGGAAAGGATCTATCGGAGCCCTTCAATACCGAACGAGGATTCAGACAAGATGACAGTTTGTCGTGTGATCTTTTTAACATCCTACTGGAAAAGGTCATACGAGACGCAAAGGTGAACAGAAATTGCACTCTGTACACCAAACAACACATGTTACTCGCCTACGCCGATGACATCGATATAATGGATCGAACATTGCGAGCGGTAACAGCCACCTTTGAACAAATCGAAAAGGAGTCTGCCAAAGTGGGTCTGGCAGTAAACGGTGAGAAGAGCAAGCTGATGGTATCGATGCGCAAGACGTCCAGTAGACTCGGACCAACTGTGGAACATGTTAACTACAGCTTCGATGTAGGTAAAGACTTTATATACCTTGGTACCGCCGGAGAAGGATTGTGATGGCCAACCGATGCTACTACGGTCTGTGCAAACAACTCAAAAGCCACATCCCGCCAGACCAAACTCACACTTTACAAGACGCTGTAAAGTGTGAGTTTGAGTACCCGTGCCATTATATGGATCAGAAGCATGGGTACTTACGCAAGCAGATGAGGCAGCTCTTGGGGTGTTTGAAAGAAAAATTCTCCGAAAGATCTACGGGCTGATCTCCGTCGACGGTGAATATCGGCGCCGAATGAACCACCAGCTCTACAATTTATACACACTGACACAGTCAGCCGTATTGAGCTGCAGCGACTACGGTGGCTAGGCCATGTTGTGCGAATGAATGAGAATGCCGCAGCTCAAAAGGCAAATAAAAGTGAGCCTACGGACATTTCTCGTAGAAGGGGATGGTTCCCACGAATTAGATGGAAAGACCAAGTAGAAAACAACATCTTGGAACCTGGTCTTCCAAATTGGTGGAGATGCGCACAAGACCGACGCGCTTGGAAATCTTTTTTAAGCTCGGCTTATGGAACAACCGTTCCGTAACAAGCCAGCTAAGTAAGTAAGTAAAAACAAATTTGGGGTTTTGACCAGAAAAAATCGATTTCTTAATAAATGCGGGGCGACACATTTGTTGTACGTCATTTATAGTAGTTAAATTTATTCTGTATATAGTTATATGGACAAGTAAACTAATTCCGAAGTGCACGAGTGTATAGTTTTATTTTATTGCAATTAACAGTGTACATCAAGTAACTTATTCTACAGAACAAATTAGTTTACTATTATTTTTGGATTTCCTTTTTTACATATTTTTCTACATACAATTGCGTAGAAATAAGAAATATGACACACTGGAACGAACAATCTGAAACAAAAATATGTTTTTATTTTTTAGTGATATTTTCATAATTTCGTAAAACATACCGTCAACAGTGTTACCAAAGACATTCTGGCAAAGCCGCCAACATCCATTCGTATATTGTGATTAGTTCTCATAATCATAACCTGTATCATTATTTGAAAATTTCGATTTTCCTTGTACCACAAACAATTGTAAATAGTTTCGGGTAATAGATCACTCTAGAAATAAGAGATCGAATAGTAATAATGAAGAAGTTCTATACTATAAAAATGATTATAATGTGAGTCGTTTATTTTGAAAGCGTTGAGAGGTTAAAGGTTTGGGTTTGATTTGTTTAAAAAAGTATTGTTAAGTGGTAGTAATTTTACTTGTGGCGTTGTTATCTTAAACATGATAGAATATACAAGGGCAGTTCGGAATCTTCTTAGCCTAGCACAAAAAGATCAATATAAACTGAAAAAAGTTAAGTGTTATGGAAACTTCCAACTCTGTTATGAACACTTGTTAAATTTTGTTTCCATCTGGCAACTCATTCATATAGAAATATGTGTTCAAAAAAGACGCATCCGCAATTTTTTTACAATGGAAAAATTAGAAATGCTTGCTGTCAGTAAATATTTACATAAAAAAGGTTTATCGGGACAAGATATTCATAATGAATGTGTCCAGAGTATAAAATTGGGACGCTGAATATAAACGTGGTCGTACAATCATTGAAGATGAACCACGTAGTGGACGTCCAAAAACAGCAGCAACAACAGAAATTGTAGCCAAAGTGTATGATATGGTATTAAATGATCGACGAATAAAAGTGCATGAAATGATCGAATCCATTTAATTTTGCATGAAGAACTACAGATGAAAAGGCTTTATGCAAGTTGGGTGCCACATTTGTTAACCGTCGATCAAAAACGCATAAGAATGAACATTTCTTAAGCTTTTTTTGATCGTTTTAAGCGAAATAAAATGGATTTTAAGCGTCGTTTAATAACTATTGATGAGACATGGATCCACCACTATACTCCAGAGACAAAAGAACAAAATCAAACCACTGAGCGGAGCAGTATAGTCGGACGGGGCCGACCATATAATACCCTACACAACTTCCACGAAAATCTAACTTTGCGTTATTTGCACCCTCTTGAAACCTGACTTTAAGGTCAACATATATTACTAATATTCAGTAGACGAGGGCTGTACTTGTCCATGTTGGGCTTTCAATTGTGGTCTATACACCGACTCAAAAAAAATGTTAAGTTTTCGGTCCACTTCATCCCAAAATTATTATCTGATATATCAACGAAAGTTATAGGCGTTGTCCTTGACCATAACTGGAATCTCATGGATTCCAGTTACGGTCCTTCAGGGGCAAATATATACGTCATGGAATACAAATTTTGTCATTTTTGACACAAAAGTCAGGGTTCATTTGACCCGCTAAATATTGACCGATCTTTATCAAAACAGGCATGCTTATTCTTTGGCCCGATCCCCTTCTCCGTGCAAAAATTCGCGGTGTTTGAGTCATAATTGCGGCCTCTGGAGCGACCAGAAAATCAGACAAAAATAAAGTTTTTGGTCCATTTCATCCCTCAAATATTAACCGATCTTTTCCAAAAACAATAGGGGTCTTCATTGGCCAGAACCCATCCTACATGCAAATTATAATGGACAGACGGACGGACGGACACACATGTCTAGATCGACTCAGCTAGTCGAGATATCGGTATACTTAAAGGTGGGTCTAGGACCAATATTTCGCGGCGTTACAAACTTTTGGGGCTGCACAAAGCTATAATACCCTAACAACATAGTTGTGTAGAGTATAACAATGGACTGAAGCAGGAGGAAATGCCCCAAATAAGGCAAAAACCAAAAACAATTGGCTGGTAAGGTTATGACAACGGATTTTTGCGACTTCAAAGGTATTTTATTTTATTGATGATAAATTAAGAGTACGAACTTTTGGATCGAGAAAAACGACCTGGCTTACAACACAAAAAAATATTTTTTCATCAAGAAAATGCACCAGCTCACATGCGTGTTTAACAATGGATAAAATCAACGAATTAAAGTACGAGTTGCGTGACCACCCACCTTATTCCCCTGTTCAGCTCCCAGTGACTTTTACTTATTCTCAAATCTAAAAAATATTCCCTGCTGACAAGCGTTTTACCTCAAATGAAGATGCAATTACAGTTGTAAACCACTATTTTGAAGACCTTGAGGAAATTGATTTTAATCAAGGGATAGAATTGCCAGAAAAACATTGGACTAAATGTATTAAAGTTTCAGGAGATTATATTGAAAAATAAAAATATTTTTGAAAAACAAATAATTCTCTTTCATTGTTAGGCTAAGAAGTTTCCGAACCGCCCTCGTATAACGTAATATATTTTGTTAGCTTTTCTAGAAAACCAAGATTTGTATGAGAACTTAAAATGGACTTAAAGCACTTTCCAAATAAACGACTCAATTTGTCAAATGTTAACTTACCTCCGAAGTAATTCGTTGACCATTTAGACAAAATATCAACAACTCATAAAACGCTGCCGAAAGATAAAGAACAACTTTGATAGAATCCGATATATTGTTGCCCTGCAAAATTGTATATTATCTCGGTTAATGTTTGCAAAATCGACTATTTTAAACAAGAAATGCAGTTACCAAATCGACACTGGCCTTAAAGGTTAACAGACAAATAACCAGACAGCATGTCATAAACAATGCTATTGATGGCCTTCGATACAGGATGTTCAAACGACTGCAGAAACTGAAAAAAAATACATAAATAAATAGAGTATTTTTGATGATAAAATACAGAGACAAATTATGTACCTTAATATATTCTGATGCAATCGAATACAGGCTTGCAAATATGTAATTCTCTGATGTGGTGGTACTCGTTCGGTAGTACAATATGCTACTATTGTACGCAAAACCCTCAATAGTGTCAAACAATGCACCGAGATGACACTAAATAGGCCCGAACATGTTATGGACGCTGTGTAGAAATATATAGATATTTGAAAAATAATTTATTTAAATTAAAAAAAGTATCGGAATGTATGTTACCCTACACCACTTTAGGTATATAGGATACAAAATCGGACATAAGTAAGTCGACTTAAAAAGTGCATTTAAAGTACATTCACGAAAGTAACTATGGATTTTCAACGTTTGCTTGTGAAAATTACATGCAAGTGCACAAAAACATAATACCCTCACAGTAAAAAATTTTAGTTTAATTTTAATGCCGAGCCGATGTATATATATATATATATAACAAATCCAAAATAGTGTTAAATCTATTCCATTATGGAATACTTTTAAGGAGATTGAAAGGGAGAAAATGAGAGAGAGAGTTGTTTATTATTTTTTAGAGCATTAAAATAAAACCAATATGTATTACGGCATAAATCTTATTGGTGATAAATAAAACCAAAATATTTATATTGAATACCTAACTAGGAATTAATTTAAGGCCCTGTGGAATATGTTATACACCGAACTAAGTGTTATTTTTATTCTTAATAAGAATTTGATTAATACAATTCGGAATGTTTTATATTCTCGAATTGGTGTTATTTCAAAACCCCACCAAAAGAATTGTATGCTAAAAGGGTGTTGTTGTTTTTAATATAGGCAGGTTTAAAACTAACACCATTTCCATATAAAATTTAATAAATAAAACAAATTTAATGGTTAGTTTTTTAATATATATTTCATTTATTGTATAATAACATAAATTAAGTAATACAATTTCTTATTGTGGTAGAACATCGGGTGTTAATAAGTATTGCTTTGATTTAATCATATAATAATAATAATAAATTATAATATAAAGTATATAAAAATTGATAGCAAGATAAATGCTTACAATGCCACCACAATTAGCAGAAGCAATAATACATCTGTTCCCAGCTTATAAAGTGGAAAACAGCACTTTATAAGCTGGGAACCGATGTATTATTGCTTCTGCTAATGCAATCTTGTCCTCGCGATTCGGATAATTGCCACTTCGTTGGCGCAAAAAATTGATGGATTCACGTACCAAACAACGTCGAAAGCTATCGCTTAATGTTCCCTTTGTTGAATATTTATCAAATATTGCAAAAAAATTTCCATTAAAAAAAAACTTTTTAATTCCTGCAATATTTGTTATATATATCACAAACCAGTAAGGAAAGTTTAAAAGTCGGACGGTGTACCGTTTCTATGAAATCGAGTAAAATTAGGCAAATCTATACTAGCTCCCATATATAAATCTGAACCGATTTTCAGGAAACTTAACACACAACATTCTAGACCTAATTCAGTATACTACGCCAAATTTCATGCAAATCGAATGATATATAGAGACTTTGGTTCACCATTTACATTAAATCGGACAAAACTATATATGGGAGCTATGTCTAAATATGGACCGATTTTCAGGAAACTTAACACACATCAAATGATATATAGAGACTTTGGTTCACCATTTACATTAAATCGGACAAAACTACAGATATAAATCTGAACCGATTTTTACCAATTTCAATAAGGTTCGTCCTTGGGCCAAATAAGTGACCTATGCCAAATTTCATAAAATTCGATTCATAAATGCGGTCTGTACTTTGTTTACAATTTAACATGGACAGACAGTCGGACGGACATGCATAAATCGACTCAGAAAGTTATTCTATGCATATTCTCAAAAGGAACCTTTTGCCTGTTACAAACAAATGCACAAAGACATAATACCCTGTACCACAGTGTGGTGAAGGATATAAAAAGGAAAGGAATCAAAGAGATTTCTACTTACCTTCTTAAAATGTATGCTGATAATTGTTAAAGTGGTTTCTTCAAAGCAAAACTCTACAAAAAAAGAACTACAGGAACTGTACTGCGATATTATTCCTGCCAGCTCCTCAAAATCAATGTCGGCACCGTCGCGATCTTTCAACACAAATGCTCTGCCTTCTACATTAAGATTCAGCTTGTTTACGACTAACATTGAAAAACATTAATTAGCAAAGTATTTCATTGGAAAACGCTTGTAGGCATTACTCACTTGAATGTAGTATTCCTTTTGGAGTTAAATCCTCACTTTCTGGATCAGAAATCTTAATTATGTTAAATTTTCCACCACTTTTAACTTTCACGAACATTGCAATGCTTTTTTCTTCCTTTTCTTTTTCTTCTTTTATTTGTAAACACAACAAGTACTCATGAGAGAGACGCAAGTTAACACCTGTTTTTAATACCTTACAAGGTGTTGTTTTTAAACTTTAAGAAATACAATTTTTCTATGTAAAAAAAACAAGAAAACTCATGAGAGAGACACAACTGTTGGTGTTGTTTTTAAACTTTAAGGAATACAATTTTTCTATTAGAGAAATGTAATTTTTTTTTGGTGTTAAAATTAATCAAAAGTAATAAACTAAAGAAAAACAAATTTCTAATTCCTTTTTTGGCGTTATATTTAAACCAAATGGAATTGTTTTATATTTTATATAAATAGTTAAATCAAATTTTGGTGTTATTTTTATACTCAGTAAGCATTAAAAAACTCTCCAATTTCTCATGGTGTTAAAACAATTCCCTGAAGTCTTTATGGTTTAAAATATAAACTAGTTTTGAATTAATTTTAAGGTTAAATCCAAAGAAGTATAAATTTTTCCAAAGAAGTATAAAAGCACATACCAACTGTTGCTAAATATATTTGCATGGTAACAATTAAATATTCCACATAGAAATGAAACGAGGACTTTGGGCTAGAATACCAAATGGGAAAAGAGGCTGGAAATGCTAAAAAAGATAATAAATAAAAATTTTTTTGTAAGTCCTTTATATTTATATAACTTACGAAATTGTAGTTTATCTTCAGAATTATCATCGTTTATATACAAATAATAGATATTTGATATTAAACATTGACCGGAATACCAACTACAAATGCCAAATACGGTTGCCCTTAATAACATTAACTGTCGTTTGATGTCAATCCATGAATCCTTGAGAATTTTGGATATGTCGCGAACAATGTTGTCATCGTCAATTAATTCTGTAAATTAAATAAAAGGTTATAACGTATCGACAATATTGTAAACAAATTTATGAGAGGCGTAGCCGAGCTTCACATTTAAATAAACGTTATTTTTTGATCATTTAACATATTTAGTCATATTTTCCAACCGAATTCACAAACTTTTTTTTTAATTTTGGACTTTTATAGTTATTAATATATTATTATAATTTCTCTTGTTCATTACAATCTTACCCAATTGCAAAATTTCCAAATTTTTTAACAGATCTGAGTTTTCAACGGATATTATCATATCATAGATGATATCTTGAGAAAATGTAAACATCCATAGCTTCCAAACTGATATCAAACTTTGAAAGAAGATTAAAATAGCCTTAAGAAAAGAAAAAAAGAAAATACGATAGGTAATCACATAATAAGTTCAGCAAACGTTACCATCATGCTTAATAATAATGCTAGCTTAGTTTATAAATTACAGTGAACTCTGGATAATGTGAACACTCAAACTGACACATTATCGAGAGATCGACATTCGTTAGAGAATGAATTTCCAAAACTACCTACATTTCCCAACCCTACACTCCAACAGTAATCTTAATTCCTATCTTCTGGATTTCAGCTCTATCAGTTTCTCCAAATTATAACAATACACATACAGTAAACCCCGCTTAATTACCTCAGTGAAAATTTCAAGATTTTTAGCAATTATCCGTGGAAGGTAATTAAGCGTGCACGGTTAATTACCCACCAAGGGAAAATATCGGTGGACACTGGTGTTTTGTTTTTTTTTCTGTCTTTTTTGCTTGAGATATTAACTGGAGCTTTAGTTTGATAAACAAAGATGTATTTCCTTTAAGGGGACCCCCCATTCTCGGGGTCATTTTTTTATTTAATTTGAATCTGCACTAATTCCAGAATGTCCCTACAAAATTTCAAGTGAAAATCTCAAGAACTCCTGAAGATATAGCCTAGTTATTGTGTCAGCATCAAGTGACGGCTAAAGGGCTTCTCAAACTTTAAATGCGTTTTTCTCTTTTGCGAATGGCGGGCACGATAACTCAAAAACTAATAACCCAATCGATTCCAAATTCCTATGAACTAGGATAACATAATTTGTGGTCAAAAATCGTCGATTTTCCAAAAATATTTTTTCAAAGGTCCGCCATTTTGTTAATTTTAGAGCGAAGTCAATAATCCTGGTTCATACGAGAGCCAGTCAAGTACTCTTTCTAACACCGTTTTCGGATTCCGATGTTCCAGTGAGGAGTTATCATGCCCGCCATCAAAAATAAGGACTTTTCTTTAATTACAAAAAAACAAAAAAAAAATTTTGTAAATTATTTTTCTTCTCTTTTAAATTATTAAATATATATGTGCAAAGTTACAAACCTTAACAAGCATTAATATTGATATACCAGCCCATTGAAAATCTTGAAAAATTAAAATCGAGAATGGGGTGTTCCCTTAAGTGAAGTTGCCAGATTTAAAAAAATATATTGGGTAATTACATGGTACAGATTTAAAGGTACGGTTACTTTGGGGTAGGTTATTTAGGGGCAAATAAATGAAGTGGGTAATTAAAAGGGGGTAATTTAACGTGCAATTTTGTAAGGGGTTGTACTGAAAATAACTGGAAGGTAATTAAGCGGGGAATATTGTAAATACAAATATCTATTCCTGCTCCTGCTTTCGGCTGAGTTTCTGATCTATCGGTTCACCCAAATGTCAAATTGTACCAAAATTTCAAAACTAGCTATATCATACATTTAACAGAAACCTTGCTTCCTAATTTCAAATTTAGTACACATTAGTACGAATTTACAAAACTTTCTACATATCCCAATCCTACACCCCAAAAATGATTCTAACTCCAAATTTCAAGATTGCAGTCTGCTGGCTCACCCAAAATTCAAATTGTACTAAATTTAGCACCATTTAGTACACCTATGTACGCATCTCCAAAACTATATAAATACCACAATTCTACTTCTAATATTATTTCCAAATTTCCGTGTTCACGCTCTATCGATTCGCACAAATCCAAATTGTATTGAATATAGTACCATTTAGTACTTTTCATACACATAAGTACAAATATCCAAAACTACCCACATCCGCAGCTAATTTTAATTTCAAATTTATGGATTCAAATGTAATTTAGTACCGTTTAGTAATTTTCGTGTACCAAAGTACACACTTCCAAAACCACCTCCTTATATCGACCCTATTTCTCAGTTTTTATTTGCCATCCAAATTTCAAGTTTTTACCTCCATTTAGTACATTTTAGTAATCAGTGACCCTCATTGCAAAATTAAGAGTTCTAGCTGTACCGGTTCGCTAAATACAAATGGAACCATATTTCGTACTTTTCGTGCCATTTAACGAATGCCCCAGCCTTGTCTGACAATAAGAGTGACTAATAGTACGTTTATATATAACCGGATTTCATTAACCCAGTGGGTTTCAATTGTCAATTCCTTTGCATACATGTCAAATAAATCCTCATAAAGTAGGTTAACCCGGTAAAAAGTTCTAATGTATATGCCGTTTAAGAGTTAATCGCTTTAATATTTTCTCAGTATAGATGTGCCGTTACCACTCGAACGACTGGACCTGCTGTTATGAAAACAAATAGTAATACACATATATGGCCATAATACTTACTTCAATGTATGATGTAAAATTTTGACTTCGACGTTCCCAGACATAATGCATTTGACCATAACAAGCCAAAAATGAGGTTAGAAATAGAAACAAATTTAAACTAAATAAAATGAATTATGTCAAATAAAAAATTCTCACTATTAAAAAAAAATCTCACAATTTTAGGGGATGCAGAAATTTACTTCTGTACTTAATATTGCAACCAGCGAACATTGCTATCCATTTTAAAGGATTCAAAATCAGGCGTCCTTCATCACTCATATCGGATAAAATTGTTTTATCCATAATTTCCAAATTACTTCAATTCACTTTCTTTTTGATTAAAATTTATTATATTGCAAGAAATATTCCGTCTATTTTTTCAGCACATTCCAACGTTATAGAAGGTTCAAACAGTATCCTTGATTGGTTTTAAGCAATAGTTTCAAATTAAGTTATCTAAATTGAAGCAGCTGTGTAAAGCGCACGTACATGATTTTTAAATTGATTATAACAACAACATCGTTAACAACTAATTGTTGCGGTTTTGTTTAAATTGAGGGTTATGGGTTCAAAGGTAATTGATTATATAGATAATCAGTATCTATATTAATAAAAGAGTAAAGTGATTGACTGACTGTCTGTCTGAATTCGAATCAATGTTGAAGGGTAGGAAGGTAGTTTTGGAAATGCATACTATACGGCTAAAGAACAATAAATCAACAGGTTCCGAGGGATTACCAGCCGAACAATTCAATACCGATGGTCAGATACTGGTCAGGAGCATGCACCAGCTGATTAGTATAATTTGGCTAGAGGAATGCATGACCAATGATTGGAACCTCAGCACCCTGTGTCCTGTGCGCAAAAAAGGAGACAAGGCGATTATGTGAGATAAAAAAACCGCAACCAACTTCAAACTGCTGTCATTTCTAAGCCAATCCCTAATTATATTGTTTACAAGCGTACAAAAGCATTTTGGTAAGAATTTTCCAGAAAAAAGTTATTCGTGACAGCGTGATAGTGTAATTTCTTTATATTTAGCTGGAAAACCACAAGTGTCTATCGCTAGAGCACTCCTGCATTTAAATGTGAATAAGTCTATTGTGTCTCGTACCATCGTTCGTTACCGTGATCCTGGTAGCTGGCCCAACGTCAAGGAAGTGGACGGAAGAAAACAGCAACATCGTTAGATATGGTTCGAAAAGTAAAGGATCGACTTTATAGAAACCCTCGTCGCAGTGGTCGAAAAATGGCTCGTAAGCTGAACATATCGGCAAATATTAAAAAATGAGCTCGGGGTAAAGCCATTGAAATTGCACAGCAACGGAAAAAATAGACTCAAAAGAGCAAAAGAGTTGCTTTGCTTGGCCGAAAGTGGTGAACTGCCGAATTTGGGTTTTTCGACATGATCATGTTTACTCGTCAAAGGGGTCAACTGAAAATGTGCACCTTCGGTTGGACAACAGAACTCAAGCGCCGGCAATGGTGATGGTGTGGGCCGCCATAATAGCCGATGGTCACTCTCCGCTCGTATTAATCGACCGTGGCATTAGAATAAATGCCGAATATTATCGGCAGACCTTGGTCACCCAAGAATAGTTACAGAAAAGAAGGTTCCTCGCTTCATATTCAGCGCACAATGGCTCGGGATACCAATCAATGTTGGCATTAAAAAATACCTCAAGCAAGCGCTTCGCCGGGAATGGGCCAAAATACCGCCGAGCAACATTCGGGCAGCGAGTGACTGTTTCATTGGCTGTTTGAAGGTAATCAATGTCAAAGTTGACAAATGCGAACAAATCTAAAAACATTCTAAAATTTGATGCTATTTCCGCTATTTTTTGCTTGCTAAAAATTAAAAAATATTAAAAATTATGGCGTTTGACTTTGTTGCAGTTTTTATCTCGCCCTGTATAGAGGAATAAGTCTGCTTCCCATCGCATATAAAGGTGCCATCCAGCGTGCTGTGTAAACGACTGAAGCCAATGGTCAATGGCAATTTTGGACCATACTAATGCTGCTTAAGGCCTGGCAAATCCAACATTGACCAGATTCCTGTAAACGACCCAAGAGAAACACATGTACACATTCCACCTATTTGTCGACTATAAAGCCGCATCAAAAGCTATGTCTGCGTTCGGCGTTCCTCCAAAACCATGCATTATAACTTTAACAGCAGTTAAAGTCGGAAAGGACCTCTAGGAGCCGTTCAGTACTGAAGGAGGATTCAGAAAAGGTTACAGTTTGTCGTGTGAACTGTTTGACATCCTGCTGGAAAGGCAGATACAAGATGAAAATGTGAACAGACGACATCGAAATAATGGTTCGAACATTGTGAGCGTTAACCTTTGAACCAATTAAGAAAGAGTCTTCAAAAGTGGGACTGACAGTAAATGGCGAGAAAACCAAGCTAATGGTATCAACGCGCAAGACGTCCAGTAGACTCGGACCAACTGTGGAATTTGAGAATTTCAGGTTCGAGGTAGACATAGATTTTATATATCTTGGTACAGCCATAAATAAAACTAATGATGGAGGAGAATAGTGTTAGACAGCAGACGCTTTTATGGTCTGGCCACATTTCGCCAGTCCAAACGCATACTCTACAAGACGATGATACTACCCCGTACTGTTGTATGGATCTGAAGCATGGTACTTGCGCAAGCAGATGAAGCAGCTCCTGGAGTGTTTGAGGGAAAGATTCACCGGATGTTCTATAGGCTTATCTGTGTCGACGGTGAATATCGTCGTCGAATGAACCATGAGTTGTATCATCTATTCTCGGACGTCGACATAGTCAGACAGATCGAGCTGCAGCGACTACGTTGGTTAGGGCATGTTGTGAGAATGGAGAAGAATGACACAGCTCAAAAGGCATATAAAAGCGACCCAAGTATTGGTTCACGCACAAGGCGAGTGTGACGTATCCGATGGAAAGTGGATCATGTGGATGATAATATCTCGGAACATATTTGATGAGCTGCACACAAAACCGACGCACCTAGAAATCTTTTAAACCTTTATGGTCCAATGTAGCCCACTGGCAACCAAATATTTTAGAGCTTATATTTAACACGCAGTTAGTATATATATATATATATTAGATTATGATACAGATATGTTACGGCCTGATTTCGGACGACACATATTAAAAGAAAAATCTAAAAAATTCAAATGTTTGGGCAATATATAGTTGGGTGCAAAAATTTGTACAGTACCATTTTGTGTATACAGTTCGAATTCGACATCTACCAATTGTACAAATTTTGTTCATATCCTACTTAGGATAACTGAATTACATCTGTGTACAGAAAACAGTTTTTATAGTCACGGAAAAAATTCGGGGCTCGGCTTAGATACAAGCCGAAGTTCATAGACATGGTTAAAGAGTTCAGTAGCCTCTAGTCAATTTTAAAATGACCCCCCCCCCCCATTCGCTGGGTCAAAAAATTTTTTGATTTAATTCGATTCTATACTAATTCAAGAATGTCTCTACCAAATTTCAAGTGAAAATCTCAAGAACTCTTGAAGATTAACCGATGTATTGTGTCAGCATCAAGTGACGGCTAAAGGGCTTATCAAACTTTAAACGCGTTTTTCTCTTTTGCGAATGGCGGGCACGACAACTCAAAAACTAATGACCCAATCGATTCCAAATTTTTACACGTTTCTCTGTGAGTGTATAGCTATAGTATGAACCTGGATAAAGCCAATCGGTGAAGATCTTCCTTATTTTTTAACTTAATTTTTTGTCAAAAATCGGCGATTTTCCAAATTTTTTTTTTTTTTTTTGCAAAATTATTTTTCTTCTCTTTTAAATCTTCAAATATATATGTGCAAAGTTACAAACCTTAACAAGCATTGGTATTGATTTACCAGCCCATTGAAAATCTTAAAAAAAATAAAATCGAGAATGGGTGGGGTTCCCTTAAGACATACCTTTCGTAATCTTGAGGATTATAGCCTAATATCGCCCCCAACACATATCGTTTCTTTACCGATTCTGTTCATGTTTTGTCGACTTCTTTAAAATTGGTCGGGTTTCCGCACTGGTTTATAGTTTCGTATTTCCAACGGTAAATAAAATGATCTTCAGATATTGAAGGTAATTGCTTCCTGTTATACCCACCAAGTATAATGTTACTATCCCGAATGGCATTAATATTAAATATAATAATTGGGCGTAGCCGGATATTCGGTTTTCATATCCGTAAATATATAAGATTTATTATACCCTCCACCATAGTATGGTATATTAATTTTGTCATTCCGTTTGTAACTAATCGAAATATTCATTTCCGAACCTAAAAGGTATATATATTGTTGATCAGGGTAAAATTCTAAGACGATCTGGCCATGTCCATCCGTCTGTCTGTCCATCCGTCCGTCTGTTGTAATCACGCTATCTTCTGAAGGAATTGAGATAGGGTGCTGAAATTTTGCATAGGTTGTCTTTTGTCTGCAGGCAGGTCAAATTCGAAGATCCACGGTCTACGTTTAGGCATAGCTCCCATATAACAGTACCCCCCAATTTTCGCGTTTTCGATCGAATACGCTGAAATTTGGTACATTGAGTTCTTATTGAGTACTAAATGTCTCCACAAAAAATTATAAATATAGGTCCACTTTTTCTGGTAACCCCCACATAACGGTACCTACTAATTTTCAGTATTTTGGGGGTTTGGATCGTATTTTTGCACCAAATTGGCTCTAATTTAGTATTTTGAGTTCGTAATAGGTTTCAAATCGCTCCACAAAAAATTATAAGTATAGGTTCATTTTTTTGGATAGCCCCCATATATAGGTACCCCCCCCCCTTTTCGGTATTTTGGGGTTCTTGAGCGCGTTTTTAACCCAATACGCGGAAATTTGGTACATTAAGTTCTTATTGGGTACTAAATGTCTCCACAAAAAATTATAAATATAGGTCCATTTTTCTGGTAGCCCCCATATAACGGTACCTCCTAATTTTCAGTATTGTGGGGGTTTTGATCGTATTTTTTTCACCGAATTGGCTGTAATTTAGTATTTTGAGTTCTTAGTAGGTACCAAACCTCTCCACAAAAAAAAAAATTATAAATATAGGTCAATTTTTTCGGATAGCCCCCATATAAGGGTACCCCCAAATTTCGGTATTTTGGGGTTCTTGAGCGCGTTTTTCAACCGAATTCGCTGCACTAATTTCGAAAGAAATAATAAGATGGGCAAAGTGTGGATGAAATCAAAAATTTTTGAAACAAATTTGGTCCAAAGAAACATGGGGTCTTGGACCAATATTTAGGGCCATAATCGGTTTGTAGAAATGTCGGTATAGGTACACTTTTTGGTATGTTCCCTATATTTTTATTTCAAGTACCTGTCAGTATATCTGTGGTGGAGGGTATCCAAAGTTCGGCCCAGCCGAGCTTAACGCTTTTTCACTTGTTTATTTATTTTTTTTTATTTCACACAAACATATATATATAAAATAATGCAGTAAAATTCCGATAATTCGTAATGTCAAGGGACCAACCGTTTAATGCGAATTTGCGGGGTTTCGAATTTCTGTCATAAGTACTCCTCCAATTGGCACATTCGTTTGACGGCTTTCTCGAAACCATGCGACAAGTAATTGCTCAAGCTCTACAAATTCACCTACTTTTTGCGTTTTGCCGTACTGCTGCATGATGTCATCCCTTTATTGAAGAATAGATGTGAGTGTAGATGGAGAGATCAAATTTTCACGATTGTTCACTACATTAATGATGTCAAGGGCCTTGTAGTGTGACCGAAAACTTTTACGAATTATGGAGGGGACCGAAATGTATTGGATGTTTACGAATTATTGCGATTCTTTTATGGACGGGGATTTTGCTACGAAAAAGCGGGGTTTACAAATTATATATTTAGTATATATATTTTTTAATAGTATACTGTCAAAATAACACAATACTGCATCATTCTTACATACATTCCTGTAAGAATAGAAAATATGAAAGACTGGAACGAAAAATCTTTAAGAAAACACACACAGTATTATAAGTGATTAAAGATCATCTTGTGGGTATTTCAACTTACGGTTAGAAAAGTAACAATAGACATTGTTGTAAAGCCACCAACATCTAGGAGAATCAGATGATTCGTACGCTGGATCATAAATTGAATCATTGTCTTAAATTGTACACTTTTATTGTACCATTTGGATTGATATATATCTATTTGTAGACGTTCGCTCTGCAAATGAAATCAATAAGAGAGAGGGTTTTATTTTTTTCACTGTTTTACTATAAACAGTAACACAATTCACAATGTACATTGATACTTTAAATTATTTAATTTGTTCTTGTTAATATATATTTTTTTACTTTTATATCGTGGCATAATTATACAAGGTATAAATTTGCTTTCAAAATTTAAACGAAAATATCTTCCTTCGAAATGTACGCAAATCCTGTGTCCAGTGGCAAAACATTTAGAATCATTTATATTTATTAACTAGCGGGCCCGGCAAACGTTGTCTTGCCTAGCAATATTATTGATGTATAATTTTTGGTATTTTAGGTTTTTTTATACACTCCACCTTAAGTATTTGTCAGAGCACACATAAAGTAACATTACAAAACTGAATATCTACAATTTGATGTTTATGATCGAATTTTGTTGCTCCCTCCACGGTTTAAGAATGAACTTTGAAATTTGCTCATACATTTCGACTGCTCATAAGATATTTGGTATTGAAAATGTTCAATTTTTGGTCCACTTTAAGGGTAGCCCCCATATAACGATACCGCACAATACGCACAATATTTGTATGTTTGGCAGTTTGGTCCAGTGTTTCAACCAAAGTGGCTGTCATGTTTTATTTTTGGATGATCAATACCTCTTTACCAAAAATTATCAATATTGGTCCAAGTTTCCGGGCCCCCATAGCCCCCATATAATGGTATCCCCTATTATCATGCGGTGTCAAATCTTCATACCAAAAATTAGAACATATCCATTCCCATTGTAGTATCATATATCATTCATATCATATATCATTCCGCGAAAACATTTCTATTCCAGACCAAGTTTTGATGAAGTTTCTACATACAGTTCCCGCCCCATTTTCGGTATTGTAAAGAATTTGACCAAAATATCAGCTCGAATAATATTATGGCTACCAGATGGAATCCGATCCAATTCCATTTTGACCATGTTTACTAAATTGTTATTTTGATGTAGAAACATTTGTAGATCTTGGACAATTGTTCTTTTCACTGTTAAATTGTGAGCACAACGATTATCAACCTCCGCATCTGAATTACCCATAAAATTAATTTTGTAGAAATTGATCTGCATCAGGTAGAGGTAACAGTGCACCCAGTAAGTGACAAAAATTTCCTTGTATCTGTAATATTTAAATTTTTGTCCATCATTAACTTCCGATGTTTATTTTAGTACAAACTGGAATTATTATTCAGTTTTTATACCTTGAAAGTGGGCATGAAATTGTCCTGTATAATATGTGTAGCGCCAAATGACGTCATCTGGAAACAGTTTCTATATTTCTGAATATTGGCCAAGAAGTGATTAGAATCAATTTCAATCCCATAAACTAATGAGCGTAAAGGATCTGGTGGTAGGACCAATTGTAGCAATTTTACCTTTCCTCCAGGACAACTAATTCAATAGATACCACAGTGTATTTGAACGCCTTACAATATATAAACATTATTTTCATTTCCCCAGGAAACGCAGAAGCACTGCTTCTGCGGATTCGCTCTATTTCATACCGTCGTGCTTGCTGTTGATGAATTGCATTCTTAGGCTATTACTTTATTCGCATTCTGACATAGAAATACGACTATTTTCTTGATCTGTCTCTTTCTGGTCATCAGTGCACGTGAGATAGCTCTTCGCGTATTCGATTTACTGTGACGACCTAAGTTAGATCGTTTTCTGCTCCACATCTTACCGTAATTAGTAAAAATGAGGAAATTTCGCACTTACTGAACAAAAAAGTGTGACTACCACAAAGTCACTATCACAAAAGATAATTGTCACTCACAAAAATTGAACTATGCATTCATAGAAGTATGCATTCATAGAATATTAGTTGTCGAATATTATGGTTCTTTCAGAAATTTCAAATTTTTCAAACATAAAAAAATAATTTGACACAAAATGCAAATTGTCTCTATGACTATACATTTTATTTAGAAAGCATTTGTATGGGAAATATAAAAGCCAGTTTTTAGATGTTTCGCGGTATTTATTTGATATTTTCTCACCTTTTAAACCTTCCCTGAACTTCCACGAACATTTCAAGACTAACATCAGATAAATCCGTTCAGCCGTTCCTGAGTTTTAGCGAGACTAACGAACAGCAATTCATTTTTATATATGATGAATATTTATTAATATGTTTAAGTTCCCTGTCAATAAAACCTATAAATATAAATTGCAACATTCTTAGTTAAATCTTGAGAACAATGTGGACCTTTAGAAAAACTTGTTTTTTAATCTGTGGAAAAATTGCCAATCGCCATGCGTAACATTTTATGGAATTTATTTTTCATTTTATTTGAAATTGATGAATTCCATATTAAGAAGGGTTGCCCATTATCAATTTCTCAAATGTGACTACCTTGTATAGTTATGGCATGCTTTCATATTTACCTCAGATGTTATAAGCTGACCGTTAAAGCAATATATCGCAACTTCAAAATATGCCCCGATAAGAAAAAGAATAACTTTCATAACCATTGAGGCTTCGGTACCCTAAAACATACAAACACAAAAATAAAAAAAAAAAACTTTTCAAGTATACTGCATTATCTATCAATATTCACCATCTCTGTACTGGCAAAAAATATTAGTAGACAAAGGACCAAACAGGAAACCAAAAACAATGCAATCGTTGGTGTGACATATAAAGAATTCAGTTCATTACTAAACCTAAAAGATAATTACATATATAGATTATAGAGTTTTTTTTATATTTTAATAGCACATTCTCTGTTTATACAATACTTACGTATATATTTTCTGTTGCAATTTAATGCAGCTCTTTAAATATTTAACACGATCCTCGGGAAATACATTATAGGTGGTACTGTAGGATATGACAGTTCGTAAAACTTTTAATAATGCCCGACAATGAGTTGAGGTCAAGGCAAAAAGGCCAGTAAATGTGATGGCACCTATGTGACAATTATATTGTATGAACGAAGGCTATAAGATATTTAGGCCTATGTAATTCATAACTCTATTAATACATATATATATATATATATATATATATATATATATATATAAATATATATGTATATATATATAAATATATATATATATATATAAATATATATATATACATTTTTTTTTGTAATTGATTTACATAATTTTGTCCAATTGTAAAAAGCAACCCTATATCTGACCAAATGAAAAATTTAGTATAGTTTGCAGAATGACATGTTTGTGGACCCATTTTCGTGTTAATGGTACTTCAACGTCTGTTAGGATTCATCTGTTGAATATATCCAAAGTGGTGAAGGTATCATATAGTCGGCCCCGTCCGACTTTACTACTTTCCTTACTGGTTCAATGTTAAAAAAGTGTCAGTAGAAGTAAAAAATCCCGTCTCGGCCAAGCTGTTTTTACCCTGCGCCATGTGGCGTGTATTAAAAGTTTCTTAAACAAGTAAAAGGTGTCGGTCGGTGTTGAAGTAAAATTTTTAACCATTTTGTGGGGGAGGTACCAGAATGGGTTGACCGATATACCCCATCTTCAAACTGGAACTAATTTCGGCAGAAATACTACGATGTGCCAAGTTTGGTTGAAATTGGACATTCCTTCGAGAGTTATCGTGCGCAGACAGACATTTGTAAATCGACTTCAAATTGTCAGAAACGGATTTGGTCCACAGAAACATAGGGCCCAAAACCAATATTTCGATAAGGTAAATTTTTACCGTATAAAAGTGCATATTCCCTCATTGGCCATATGGCTGACTTCATATGGTAACTGTGGTATTGTCTGTTAGTTGGTCGTTATTTTACCACCATATTAAGCGGGACCGTTGTATGGGAGCGATGTAAAAATCCTAAATCTAAATTGGAAACTTTTTGGAAAAACGTTTTTTATTCACCAAAAATCCAAAATTCCAAATTATAACCAGAGCACCGAACCTTAAAAATTCGCAAATAGGACGGAAATCTACGTAGAAAATTGTGCGTAGAAGTCACATTATCCGATGTATAAAATATTGAACCGCTACTTGGAATTAAAAAAAGTGATTATGAAACTATTCAGCTATTCCAACATTAACTGTGTGAACACATCGTTGCTTAGGTTTTCACTCCTGTTGTATTTTAAAAACATTTGATTTATCGGATGCTTCTGATGCAGGTTATTGTTGATTTTTCCACGTTGAAACGGTTACATCTTTTCACTTAAATTTAGTGCGCACCTGAAAAAAAATAAAAATAATAATATTTATCGTTAATATAAGTCAAAGTACAACAAATTACTAAGAAGTATAGTTGGAAAAGGTAACGAAAAATTAAGCGGCGAATTGGTTGGGAACGATATTAAAATCATGAACCTATATATTGAAAACTTTCGCGAAATACGTTTTTTTAATTACATGGAGTCCGGAATGCATAACCTTAAATATATTTTATTGGGCTATATTTATATGTGTGCTAGGTATGAACCCATAATGCAAAATGTTGGCTACTTCTATGGGGGAAAGAATCTAAAAGCTTTAAAAATATCGAAAACGAGGCGGTACGTTTATATGGGGGATATGTGTGACCTAACTTGATAATTGTCTGCACACATATATATCAACCTCCATAACAAAAATTTGGTTAAAATCTTTAAACTACCGAAAATGAGGTGGTACCGTTGTACGGGGCCTATACAAATCAAATTACAGTCAATTATGTACCAAACTCTTCTACACAATAAGAATCTATAGTATCGAATTAGAGCCAATGCGGTAGTAAAACTTGCTACCGAAATTTCAAGTCATTTTACTAGGAACATTTTCTACCCTGTGAGAAATCAAAATACCAAACAGTTTATTAGGTTGAAAGATTTAACAAATGTCTCAAAATATCGAATGTTGGAAGGCAATATATCCCAGTACCAAACATCCTGGACATTAGAAATACCAATATTTAAGATAGAGATCTAAAATTTTGTACATTCACTCCTAGGATGTTTGCCATTGTATATAGGATATATTG